AACCACCCAATTATGTGCTTAAGGAACATTTAAGAAAGTAAATCATGGTTTAAAATATGAACTAAGATGGCTTTTTTTCCCCTCTCAGTCTGAAGTACTGTATAATTCTTTTAAAAATGTAAACATATTATATCTTTGCACTGTATATAGCTACTTTGTGCCATATAATTTTTTTTAGCTTTGCCATGTTATGTGAGGAAACTCCATCTAACTTCAGCCACATTGTATGGCCCACTGAACAATCCATACTGTTTTAAAATAAGTAGCTCTCTAAATTGATAAAAAAGGCAGATCTGAAAATATTTTAAAACTACTACAATTGTTTTTGTGTAATGTTCTAAATTTCTATTATTTTTTGGACCTTAATTACAACACATGAAGATCAACACTGCTGTTTTGCAATGAAATATAAAATGTAATACAGAAATTATTATTTATAGGGAGATTAAAGTCTAAGTTTATCACTCATTAAATGATACCTTCACACTCCTTTGTCATATTCAGCGCTGTAATTTGAATTACAAATTAGGTGGAGGAATACCTGTGGCAAAAATGCTTGAGCTTCTTGGATCCTGTAAAAATTTGGGAAACTTAAAGTCTTTGTTTGTAAGAACAACCTTAAGTGTTTGCTTAATTCCACCTTTAGTTTTTTAAATGAGTGATCAGTAGCACTAGCATGCATCTGCACAATTTCTTTCATTTCAGTCTATTGGTAAGCAGTTTTGGTTTGCAAAATAATGTGTATATAATTGAAGAGCTGGTTTAGGAAAAATTCTCAGATCCCAGTTTTGTATTGTTTAATCACATAAACAGCTAGTTATGTTAAAAAAAGGCTGAAGTCAAAGGAGTTTGCAAATGTAAAGATTCCAAGTTTGTGCTGTACCTGTACCTTTTGGCTAAATGCTGAAATTTTGCATAATAACTTCAGAAAGTATCATTAGTGACTGTGTGTATCCTGGGCTGGACAGCCTTCCACACAGAAAGCCTCTTCCAAAGAGCAATGCCAAGTGACTTGGGGTGACTGACAATCTAGTCTTTTGTTTTCATTTTGAGATCTGAACTGCTCTTGTTGGAGAGGAAGGTCTCTTTCAACTGAGTCACTCTCAAAGGCTAAGGAAATTTGCTTGGCCAACTAATGAGTCTCCCCATGATGCGACCTGACATGACCATCCTCTTCATCGATGAGTGCTAGCAGAGTGGCTCTCAGCCACACTTGTGTTCACAATGGATCATCCCTTAGTAATCTGGAACTAATGAAAAGGGGTAATATAGAGCATCAGAGACAGAGGTCTTATTTTAAGCTTAACTTCTTACAACATCAAGAGTATTTCAAATCCCATGCCATAATGTATTACTTTTCCTACAGGTAAAATCCAGAATACCTTGCATTGGTCAATCTGGGAAATAATTCAGTTAATCCGTCTTAATCCATTTCTTCCATGCAGATAGTTTAAAAAAGTTTTCTAGAGAAATTTATACATGCTTCCATGGAGAAAAACAATGCCTGGGACTGCAAGGGACAAATGCAGTCTCTTCCTGTGTAGTATCCACCAGTGCAGCCCAGCGTTATCTCGGAGGCTGCGCAATTCGAGTTGTATTGCTCCAGTTTTTGTATTGCCATGATGAGACACCTTGGCCGTTGCTAGAGTCATTATTGGCATTTCTGCTGGGGAGGACAAGATGGCATGGTTAAGTTTCTTGTATAAAAAATGGAGCAAGTTAGCTGCACAAAGAAAAAATATTTCCTATTTCTGCATGTTGGCAATTTCTATTCAGCATCAGACTTAAGAATGCCTTTGCTCTTCACTGCGGTAAAAGTTTCAGTGATTCTGTGGTTGTTTTCAGTGTCTGTATATATATATAAGGTTACTGGATGGAGTAAAACCTGTTGATCTTCCAAGTTGTAAGTCAGTTAAATCAAATGTTTCTGTCTAAGCTAAATGGAGATTGCCTGCCATCCTTTCCTGGTCTGCAGATACCTCAGTTGTTTCTTGCTCAGTCTTCTTAATCAACAACTTCCCCATGAAACGTTGCAATTTCACTACAGAATGTCACGCCTCCATGCAAACCCAGTGTTTAAGGACAAAGCAGGAAGAGAAAAACAAAATTCTTGAGAATTGTGTTGGACTTTCTATTCAAATGACTATGTGTGAGGGCTCTACACAGATTGCTTCATTCATATTTGTGTTTATTTTTAATCTGTTTTTAATTTGTCAGATGTTATGAGAGAAATTGCAGTACTTCAGTAATTTTTTGCAAATATGCTGAAGAAATCAGGAGTGCTGATACAATTTAGGTCAGTGCCCAACAAGAAACATAGAATCATCAAAAGTATCCTGGCTTCAAAAATTCTCTTTTTTTGCTGTTCTATTTACCAAAGTACAAAATACAGCTAGAAATATAGCTGCATGGGTGAGGTACTGAGACGCAAAAGAGGTAGGTGCTCCCCAGGAGCTTGCTTAAATGCATCCTTTTTGCCTCCATGAAAGAGGTGTAACTTACTTTGGATTTAAGATTGGGCAAGGCTATGGATGTCGTAACTGCCATAGAGTACCTAGCACGCTGTGTAGCCACCTTCTAGACTTCCCCATATTTTTTATGTAACTGTGCCCTTTTAGATACATTCTATTTTCATTTGTGTGATGTTACACCAAGACTCCTGTTGCAAAGTGTTAGGAAAAGACTACTTAATAAAGTTTTGTCATTTCACACACATGCCCCTCATGAAGTGCGTCATTACTATGTTCTACAGTTTCTTGGAAGACAAAAACCTACTGGGCAATTGATTCAGCAATGCATGTAAAAATGTGCTTTAAAATAAGTGTCTGATGCAGTGTTTTGTGGAGTCAATCTGTTACTTGTTGCCCTAGGAATACCAGGATTTTTTTTCTCCCAACAATATACCCAGTAAAATGTTGTCCAGTGCAGTATAAATGGTCAAAGTGTGGCACTTCTAGTTAAGGTTGCACTCAGTGATCTTAAAGGTCCTCTCCACCCTAAATGATTCTAGGATTCTACGATTTCTGCCTCACCTAGACTATTTCTTTTGTTCAGTCTAATTCCCACTCTCTTTCTCAATCACTGAGTTACTGCATGTTAATCCAAATTATTTCTAATAATATCTCATAATCCTAGACTAGAAGTGATCTTTCTGATCTTTGTTACCCTACTGTACAACAATTTCTGTCTTTCATTTATTATTGATGCTTATTTTAATTAGAGAATATGTATTTTTTTCTTTCCTATTATATTTTTATAACTTTTGGTGTGTATCACATTTTTCATAATTAAACTGTCGAGGTAGTTGACTTAAGAGAACATGTACTGTACAATTTGGTTTATGCTGAATTGATTTTTAATGCTGCAATTAAGCTCTGATCATAGAAGATATTCATGCATTGTGTGTCTTTGTTCTCCACAGCTCCGACAGAAGCTCCCTTACATCCTCACCTAGGTAGGTGATTTGTCATTCTTATTACTAAAACTCAGAATCACTAACTTTATTATAGTAAACAATCTGTAAGGTCATATGAAACTAGCTCTGGGGAATTCAAATAAAAATGAGACTCATACAAAATTAATTGAATTATGTCTAAGTCTGATTAGTTGTTTTTCAGTAAACAATCTGTAAGGTCATATGAAACTTGCTCTGGGGAACTCAAATAAAAATGAGACTCATACAAAATGAATTGAATTATGTCTAATTCTGATTAGTTGTTTTTTCTTTGTGATTTTTATTGCTGTTTATTTATTGCCTTTGAGCCCTTGCAGTGTGAGTATATCATGCAACAGAGCTTTTCTTCCTAGCTATGTATTATAGCGTCTGTTTGCATGAGGACCAGGGCTGGAGCACCTCTCCTGTGAAAACAGGCTGAAAGAGTTGGTGTTGTCCAGCCTGGAGAAGAGAAGACTCCGGGCTCCAGGGAGACCTTAGAGCAGCCTTCCAGTACCTAAAGGGGCCTACAAGAAAGCTGGGGAGTGACTTTTTACAACGGCATGGAGTGATAGGACAAGGGGCAATGGCTTTAAACTGGAAGAGGGAAGGTTTAGATTAGATATCAGGAAGAAATTCTTCACGGTGAGGGTGGTGAGGCACTGGCACAGGTTGCCCAGAGAAGCTGTGGATGCCCCATCCCTGGCAGTGTTCAAGGCCAGGCTGGATGGGGCTTTGAGCAACCTGGTCTAGTGGAAGCTGTCCCTGCCCATGGCAGGGGGGTTGGAACTAGATGGTCTTTAAGGTCCCTTCCAACCCAAACCATTCTGTGATTCTATGACCCATAACCCCCAGTGTGGGACAGCACTGTCACAGCAGTGCTGGGTCACTGGGACAAAGGTTTTGTCCCAGTGCACATCCAAGGTGCACCTAGGAGCAGGGCACTGCTGCTCCGGCTCTCCAAGCAGGGCACGGTGCACAGAGCATTGCTCCAGTCCTGCACCCACCAACACATGTGTTGCAATTTGACCAGTTCAGGATAGATTCTGGGATCCTTGCTCAGTTTGAATAGCAGGTGACAGTTACTTCATTCATTTAATGGAAGCATTTATAGAGAAGAGTCTGTGTAATACAAATGCACGTGTCAAAGTTTGGGGATTTGGGGGTTTTTTTGGTCATCATACATAAACGGTACAGTAAATCTAGGGGGAAAATTGGAGTCCAAAGCTTTTTGTCCAAGGATTTTTTTCTGAACATTCAGAACAACCAACAATTTAGAATAAAAGTTCTTTAAACATTTAGTATGTACTTGTCGACTGCACTTTTCATAGCCATTGCGCTTTGGTGATAGATTGGGATGCTTCTCAATTTTAGGTGGTAGTATGATCCAGAGAAAGGAAAAAAACCCTGTAACTGACAAAACCCTGCTTTTGTAACTAGCATACTTTAAGAAGCTGATTTCCTCATTTTACAATGCATTTCTTTAGCTCTCGGTAAGGCAACACTTAGAAAGCACTGGATGATTACACTGGGGTTTTTTTCATATAGTGTTTTCTTTTCTTTGTAGCTGAAATGCACAGTGACAGCATTATCCTGCGAGATGACTTTGACTCTTACCATCAGCAAGAATTGAATCCTACCATGTGGTGAGTTTCAGACTTCTGCTTTCCTTTATATGCATTTGAGCAAATTAAACCATTTTGGTTATTATAGTGAAGTATTTGTATTATATTAATCCCCAGATACCTTAGTTCACATTGGTGTAAGCTTATGTGTCTTTGCTCCACTGGGACTAAATATATTAGTTTATTAATGAATTGATTAATGAGTGACTGAGAAATTCTAAACCCATTGAAGTGAGTGTAAATTCTCATTTACTTCAAATTTTTAATTAATCCAAAAATAGAAAGAAGGAGTAGAGTTGAGCTCAGTGAATGTTTTTGTATGAAGATTTTGATTTCTAGAAACCATATCTTTTCATGGAAAAGGTGATGAATTTCAATAATTAAACTCTGATTTTTAAATATTTTTTTTTTATTTCATGTAATATATATTTCTGGTGAAGCTAACTATAGTAAAAATTCCTTCTAAACTGAAATAAAATGTTTCCAAATCATTCCAAACAAAAAATTAACTGGAATTAAAGACCTCCCTCTAATTTTCAGCTGCTGAAAATGTTTAAGGTTGATTTTTTTTCTCTTTTTGTGGAAGGCAAACTTTTTCAAAACTTCTGTATTGTATAGGAAGGAAAACCCTTCCCTTACCATCTCTACACAGCAACTCGTAATTGCTAGGTTTTTTTTCGTTCGATGGGATTTCTGAGTAGGGTCATTCATACTATCACTGTCTATGTCTAAAACAGCAAAAACAGGTTGTTATCATTCTTTAACCAGTAGATGCTGGTGGAGAATCTCAGGACTCCAGGTGCATAATAAGGCAAGTATAATTTAGGACAGGTGAGGCAGAAGCTTTATTAACTATGATCATAGCAAGAGAGCACTCGGACAGCATCTCCCCCTCTGCTCCCCTGTTTCCAGCCAAGTGATTGCAGAGACCCAACCTATACACTGCTTCAGAAAACCAGGAAAGGGTGAGGAATAACAGTCATTTCAATGTTAATATAGCCAAGTATCCACCCCTGGGAGGGATGGACTCCTTGAGTCGCTGCCACAGTTCTAAGGACTCCAACAGTAAATAACAGGACAATACGGAGAGATGGCTGTTGGCGAAGCCTATAGCAGTGGCACGCCCCATGTTATCTTAGCTCAGAAGTGGAGAGCTGGAAACAGTCACAGACTGTTAGCCTTTAGTCAAAAGAAATGTTCTTTTAGCAAAGATAACTCTTAGCCAGACCTCTCAGTCTTAAATGTTAATCATTTTACCACCACGATGATCACAGTGATAGAGTACCTTTTCATGTGATGTAGGTACGTACATCACAAAAGAGGAAATTATAGGTCTCTTACAGTACAAAACTGATTCTGTTCTGTAGAGTCATACTATACCCAGATAAAGACATCTATCGGTCTTAACATGAAGCTTTGAAGGTTTGAGTCTCCCTTTTTTATATGAGATTGTTACTGAGTTTTCTATTCCTTCCAATCCTATTTCATAAATATAATTAATTTTATTGACTTAATTCATAGAAGACACAGAAATATTTTACTGGATTAGTTTATCTTGTTCAAATGAATTCTTCATGGACATTTTGGCATTTACCTGCGTTTGTTAGTTGAGAATACATATGTTCTGTGAAATCTGACTTCATTTTCCTTTTTATTAAGGCCTGTCACACTTTTCCATCTGTGCAGGTCTTTCACAGTTTCACCATCTTACATAAAAAGATTGTGGTTTATGGAATTTTATGGATTTTTTTTTTTTTGCACATACTTATTGTAATACTTTTTAGTATGTGCCTACTATTTTTCCTCCTTTTGTTCCTTTTGTGTCATCTCTTTAAATGTTTTTTTGGACAGATGCATTAAGGATCTGTGATACTATAATATAAAAAAAACCCCACACTTTCTTTATGGGAATGAATAGATCAAGGACTCTTAATGGGTTACAGAATAGCTGCCAAGGTAGGTAGCTTTAGCAGCAGTGTGTTAAATGGACTTGAGTGGAAAGAAATGAGAGGAGGCATTATTTCCCTGCAGATGTCTCATAACTCACGGAGGGCCTGTCTGTTGGGAGCCTCCGTAATTTATTTATCCATTGCTCGCATCTTTAAATTCATCCTTGCTTTACAGAAGTCTCAACAGAGAAATTTCAGACTAAAAGAGCCCCCAGTCTCCTGCTCCTTTTGTCCCCAAGATTTGGATTTGTTCCCCCTGGAATAACCTTGACCCACCTTGGTTGGCATGTCAATGCAGGGAGGTGTGTGCTGGGAGAGAGAGTCCCAAAACTCTCCGCAATCCGGAGAAAGATTTTCCTGTATTAACATCAGAAAGCCAACATCTTCAGCAATGCTAAACCGAAGTGGAGCACAAATAAAGGAAAACTGTAATGAGGTGTCATGAGCTTTTCTGCACAAAGGATTTCTACAGTAGCTCTGCCTCCAGTGAAGACCTGCTTAGTGGCAGAGAGCTCATTCTCATTTGATTGTCTAGTGGGAGTTAAATCAGGGATTATTAAGAGTTTACGCCATCCACCCTAAAATTGCATTTTTTTTCCCCTGGCAGCTGCTAAAATCCCATCTTTAGCAGAAGCAATTGCGGTAACTGCCAGAACAGTATTTGCAGTCCTGCTCGGTCCCTGGTCTGCTGTGCTCGGAGCGTGCGGCAGCAGCTGCCTTGTGCGCACCAACACTCCAGCAGTGCCGTCTCACCAGGGGCCAGTTCGACTAAGCCACTCTAATAATTTCTGAAACCATTATTTGTGTAAAGATGAAAAGAGAAGTGTTTGTATTTTCCTATGATCTTTTCTTCCCAAATCCTACATAATACTGGCTCGGATGTGATTACTGTTGTCCCACTCCTCCTGATCCCCTTTCTGGCACATGCAGCTCTGGCAGAGACGTACAGTCCAAGTGCACAAGCAAAGCATTTTATAGCTTCTCTGTGTGTCTTAATTTTATGAGTCCCAGCAGAGCCTGTGTGTCACCCCATCGCTGGGAGAGGCCTCACCTCAAACAACTATTTTGCACAAGGGCACTGTATGATTTTGAGAGTGACTGCCTGTATTTTATGGATTTCTGCTCTTTCAAATGCATTAAAAGACATATCCTACGCAGCAACCATCTGTTTCTTTGGAGGCTCAGGAGCAGGGAAGGAGTGGCTACAGGTGTTTCCAGAGCTGTAAGGGGAGGAGAAAGGGCAAGTTGCAATGGGTTTGTAAATAGAAAAATCACAGCATCTGGGAATGGGTTCCTGACCTAAATCACGGTTTGGTGATTGAAAGAAAATAGGAGAAACTTCTAAACTGGGAAAGGACAAGGAGAGGAGGAGGCAGCAGGAGAGGACACATAAGGAGAAGGAACCAGGGAGGATTTCTGTGCTGGGAGTGCAGGAATGGGAGCATGTCTCATCTCTCTCATTTTATTGGGACTCAACCATCATAAGGATTTTCTTGTGCGGTGTGTCCAACTAATTTTTATATTCTTTTCTTCCAACCTGCAATCATGTCAGAATATGATTATTTCCAAAGTCCTCAACCTGTAGGCACAAGCCTGATTACTTAAGCAAAGATTTCCTCATTTCATGAGTCTCATTTGCCACCAACTTTACAAAGATCTCTTTGGTTTGTGAAACAAATATGATTCACACACTCAAAAATGTCCAATGTATTTTATGTCTAACATGTATTAGCTGTGGAGGTTAAGATAGATAAGTGACTCCCACTCCATGGTAAACAGTACCAATGGCCATGTAAGCGGTTCACAGATGATTTGCAGAACTAATTAGAGAGTAAAGTTTAGTGCATTGTCGATGAAAAGTCTAATAGTACAGGTGATCCGTGGTCCATGAGACTTGCTGAAAGCTGGCAGGAGTGTGTTCAGAAAGCTCAGGAACCATGGAAGTAATTGTTTTCCTCTGTAGAGAAAGGGAATCTGCACCATGTACTACTTGTCAGGGAAGGGCCAGGGAATGGCTGGATGAGATGAGGTCCAATATGGGTGGTATCTGGAAGACTGTCTAGGTTGTTGAGCACTTGTTTCTGTGACCATCTTGACTCCAAGTAACCTCATAAAATTGCAGAGTATAAAAAAGGTGATATATAAGAACTGAAACAGGTCAAACAAGCACAAATCTAGAAAAAATATTCGGTTTAATCCTATGATAAATTATTTAATGACAAGACAAAAAGGGAGGGGGGGAAAGAAGATGCATAAATTAGCAAAGAAGAGATACTGGCATTAATGTATGTTTCTGTATTAAACAGTTTAACAGTAGGGCTGTAGACAACAGGGGATTCAGTATGTTTGAAAAAGAAAGACTATACAGAAGCTTGTTCCTGGCTAAACTCTCCTTCTCAATTTGATGCCATGTTTCATCTCAAAATGTATCAGCACTCCAAACAGCAATCACTTACAGAAGTCATACTCTTCAAAACTGACATGAAGAAAAGCTGAGCATGTAAAATCAATCAACAAGAAACAGGTTCCATCACTTCTTCATGGCATATGAGAAATGAAGATGTACAGTGATATTTCCAGTGGCAAAGAGGTGGAGGAAAGCTTTATGACAGGAGGGAGAAGTCCTAAAGTGGTTTCCAAATTACACTAAAACTGCAGGATTAAACTTCAGAAAGATTTATGTTTAAAAATCTCTTGGCAGCTTGAGGTGTTTATCTTCTTCATAGTCCAGACATCACAAAAGACATCAGTCAATATAATGTCCACAAACTCAGGTATTGTAGAGGGAAACGAGACGACAAATAGGGATGAGGAAACAGCAGATGTTTCCCCTTCAGCAAAGTGAAGAACAATAGCAGAGAGAGGTGGGACTCTCTAAGCCAGATATGAGAGTGATGGCAGGTCTGCAGAGAAGACATCTAGATGAATATGACACATGTCAACACTGGCAATGAGTACCAGCTGTGAGAAGAAAGCTGAAGTGATTTTAACATACTAAGATTTTAGACCAGGCAGATGAGAAAGATAATGTAAAAAGCTGCACCCAGCCAGGGCAATTAATACTGTCTCCTGTTTGTATAAGTGGAAAAGAACTTAACCTTCCTGTCTGCACCAGGAGAGGAGCAAATTGGATCGTTCTAAATGTATCATACTATGACGATGATCTGAGGAACAGCAGATCAATTATCTTTCTCTTCATGCATTCCTGTCAAGCTAGTGAGGAATTTATTGTCAGAAGTAATGCATTTCAAAGAGACCGCAAAGGTTTGAATTAGGATTACCAACAGCCATCTGATTTCTTATGAGAGAACTCATCCTAGAAAAGACAGGTGATGATGAAACAGCTGTATGAGAAGGACAGTGTTTCTGGATTTCCAGACAGTATTTTGTAGACCACATTACAGAAGTAGAATAGATGAACAGCTGGATCACTTTGTATTCATTGAAATATGAGAATTACAAAATTAAAATATCCCGTGGATTATGTAGCCTGATGTTTCATGAGGGACTAAGTGGTCCTTACATAGTATTCACAGGTAAAGTTTTCCTGCCATATCTGTCTCTCCCTGCGCGTATTAGGAGTTCAGGCAGATCCTCCACTATAATACTCTAAAATGTAGGGGCAGATAATGAAAATAATGCTCAAAACAGCCAGAATCCTACAGAATTCCAGGTATTCTTCTAGGTCCTGTCCGTCTGTTTTTCAGTTATCAGAGTTTGGGGATCAAACTCTGAAATTTAGATGGTGACAGAACACGTCCTCCGTGAACTCTGTTTCTGTACTTTCTCTTAAAGTACATTTTCGTTCACTCACATGCTCTCTTCTTGCCTTATATTGAGAAATAACATCATGGGCTGACTGTGGTTTCTATAAGTAAATATTAATTCATTGAAGTCAATAGGAACTTTATTACTTTATTAGAGGATTTAATTTTACTGCTTAAATTCAAAATCCTAAATGCTATCAATGTGAATTGCTGAATGACTTCATTGATGTGCTCATACAGGAAAAAAAGACAAGGATTTTTTACATCTGAATTTGTTTTGGGAAGTGGACCTGAAACTGACCTTTAATAAAATCTCAGAATAAGGGAGCCATTCGGAGAGTGGGAACAAGGCATTTCTCTGACTTCTGTAATGGACTTGGGCATAAGAAAGCCAGTCCTGTGCTCAATTCACCCAGGACCAACTGAAAAGACCCAAAATAACAAGTGCGATCAATTATTTACCACATCTATGCATCTGAAAACCTAACATCTATCACTCAGTAGAGCTTAGCACTCACAGACCTGCAGGGTACTGTTGTGCAGGGTCTTGTATGCTGCCCAGAGTTAACCCAGTCTGCCAACAGTTACCCACACTCTGCTGCCCTGGGAAGCCAGGGGAGTGGTGAGGTTTGCTACAGAAGCAGACCAGGAGGTAGCTCCATTTAGTTAAACACGTACTTTAAAAATTAATTTAAACATTATTTCTAATCACTACCTGGCTTTGCAGCAGCCCATCCTCCCTTGCTCACACCTTTTGGACACATGGCTCCTGCAAGAAAAGGCTGTCCCAGCCCCATGGGGTAGCTGACAACATTACCAGCCTCTTCCTTGCAATGCAGCTCAAGATTTCATTTACTTTGTCCAGGGCCATGTGGGGTGATGATTCTCAGATACTCAGGAATAGAAAAATCCTGCTCCGAGCAGTTTACAGAAAGACTTGCAGAGGTTTAACACAACACGTATGAAAAGACAAACAAGCAACATAAATGAGGAAAACAGGTGAAAAAAAAAAACAAACAGGGAAATTTGTATAGGAATCAACTATACATTGATAGTGTGTATTAATTATCTATGATGAACTACAATCATTAAAAACTCTGTCATAGAAGTTGACAGCAAGTCCCTATCTCCTTGGGATTTCTTCCTTTCCATCCGATTTCCTGCAAGATCTGCCATCCGGAAATTAGCCGGAGAGTGAAAGGACAGAAGAAAACCAAACCTTTGCATGCTACTAAACTACATCTGGACTGTGTATATGGGAATGTGTATTTTGGAAACATTTGGAAACAAAAGGGTGGCCAAGTCTGAGGCACTCTGTGTGAGAGAAGCCAAAGAAAAAACTGCCTAAACACCCCTTACGTAAGTCCATTGCACTTAAAACTCTCAAAATACTGGTTATTAAAGTGCAGACAAAAATCAGCAAGAAATAAGAAGGTTTGGAGTTCACCCTTGCTTACAACGGAGTTGCTCCAGGAGCAAATGTTTGCCTGTAGGTTTGATGTTAAAGCTGAGCCTTTGATGCCCAAAGGCAATATTGGTCAGCCCCATCGCAGGCAGTTTGTCAGGGGCTGGGAGCATCTCCAAACTCTTTTGAAAATCTGCTGCTCATGTCAAGGGCCAATACCTTGGTCCTCAAAGGTGAGGGAGAGGGCCCTTTCCCTCTACTCCACAGTCAGGCTGCCCACAAAGTCCTTCCTCTTAAAACAAGAAATATCAGGAGAGGAGCAATTAGTTGGCTTAGCAGCACTTACCAGCCTCTCTGAAATTTTCTTCATACTTTTTCCCCTAAAAGGTGGACAGAGTGGCAACTCTCTACTAGGAATATGAGATATGATAAATACAGATAGAAAGCAGCAGCAGGACCAGTGTTACAGCAGCTGGGCTGTAGGAACACCTTGGTGCCCAGTTTTGGGTAGGGTCTGCAGCCTTGAGTCTGCCCTTTGGGGTAAATCACCCTGGGGGCTGGAGGGGGGCTGATCCTAACTCCTTCTCCTGAGCTCTTCCGTATGGTAACTCCACGATGGTGGATTTACATATGGTATGTCAAATGTGCAGTAAGGATTTGGGAAGAGTAACTTCAGGGTAAATTATACGTGTAAGAGTTCTACTTGGTTTCCCACGGTATGATGTTTTGCAGTTGATGAGCAGGGACACTCCTTGTTGCAACTGGGACAGTTTGCAGAGAGTGAGTGCTTATGCACAAAGGCCTTTCTTGAGAGGCGGCTCTAGTACATCATACGTACAGTTGCTCAACCTTTACTTTCAGCACCATGGCAACAAAAGTGTGCAATATTTCTGAGTGCCATTTTACAGTTTGCACCACTGATGCAGTCTCAGTAGTACAGTTTATGATTTCCATTTTGAACATGGTGTGTTCTTCCTGTAGGTCTGAATGCAGTAACTGCGAGGTTGGAGAGCAGTGCGGTGTGATAATGCACGGCAATGCCGTCACTTTCTGCGAGCCATATGGTCCCAGAGAACTGGTAAGTGAAGGCTGGCTCATCTGCTGGGGTTGGGACTGCCGGCTGTGAATGGAGGCTGCGTTGGCTGCAGAGATGTTGTGTGCTTTGAAAGTCTGGTGTTCAGTGGAGATGCTCTTGAGCAAGGCAACAGGGCCATAGAAGAGCACCAAGGAGCATCCCAGTGTTTTAAACCATAGATGCTAACCAAAGGTTATTGCAATAGTTTGCAAGGGAAAGTCTCTTGGTCTGATGTGCATCCAAGTTATTTAAAGTATCTATAAAATACTGGAAAGGCAAAGAAATAAAATTGTGTTATCAAACTGGCATCATTCTCTTTTTATTTCCAACAATGCAATAGAGGCAAGGTTCATTTTTCTTCTCTTATTTTATTAGCTGTGTCCCATTTTTAGTTGTTGCTGTTGACGAATGTTAATTTGATTGTAAAACATCACTTGTGAACAATGCATCCTACAGACTTAAACGCGGCCTGGAGCAAGCACCTGCCAGTCTCAAGAAAGTGTATGTAACAAACTGAGTCACGATGAAGGAGACAGAATTAATTTCATTGGGGGGTAGTTTGGTCATAAAATTGCTGTAAGAAACAAAATGGTGCAATTTGCATTAACTTGGGATCATCTGGGTGTAGAAAATGAATTGAAAGATATATAACCAACGCCCACGTGCTGATGCTGGGCAGCTAGCTACAATAATATACATAAAATGGGAGAATTGGAAAGGACTGAAAAATTAAAAGGCCAGCTCAAAGCTTGTGTAACTCAAAATTAATTTTCATGTTTTCAACAGTCTTCTGAGTGGAGGGAGAGGCTGACTAGAGCTATTTGAAGAGTACATATGGAAGAGGGCCATAAAACAGAAGTAGTTTTGGCCAGGCATCTTCTTTTCATTTCAGACACTGACAATTCTTTAAACAGGGTTAATTTTACATCCTTAAATGAGACTGGAATTCCACAAATGCAATGTAGATATTGCTGGTGTGGTGCCTCAAAGTCATAAACACATATAAAACTAATTTAGAGGTTTTAGAGATAAAGGAGAATTTCAGTCATTTCCCTCACAGCCAGCTCCAGCCGGGGGATCCTGACAGGGACGCTAAATTGTCTCTTTGCTACTTTGAATGTTATCTGAATGTACTATGCTTCATTAACTGCCTTGAGAAGAGATGCACTTTTTTATGTCCTGTGCAAAATGAAGTCACACCACTGGGATATTTTTCCCAATTTTTAAACTGATTTTTAGTTGTAGTATTGAGAATAGGTAACACTCCTTGAAAAAACAATCATTTTATGACATTTTACAAAGCCAGGGTCTCAGCTCTCAGAGTTTTGAAACGTCATTAATTAGCTATCTTCTCCGTGCCAGTATCTAATTTAGACTACCCTTAGTAATCATGAACTGGCTTCAAAATCCAGTGTTGGAACGTATTTGTCGTATTACCATGTGATAAAATAGCAGTACCATGGCATCAGGAACTTGGAAAAATTTATTATGATGCTAAAGTGGTGTGATTAGATAATCAGCTGAAAAAGACATCATGCTTATAAACAGTTAGCAGCCTAATAATGAAAGTGTTTATAAATATTATGGCAGTGTAGCAGAAAAACCAAATCCTTCTGAAGGAATATGCTAATGGCTTAACATTTTGGATGAGCACAGGACGGTGTTCATGCCAGAGGTCTGACCTAGTTTTATTTTTGAGTATGGACACAGATTTAATTCCCTGTTTTCTTAGAACCAACTTGTTTTTGATTTGTAATCATGTTTCAACGATTTCACAACCTATCTCTTCCTGTCACAAATTTTAAAACCTGTTTCATTTCTCCAATCATTATGCATTTTTATTCTATCGCCTTTACTATTTGAATCCTATTCTGTCCCTGCTTGAAATGGCTCTTGAAATCTCTGTTCCTGTTCATGGCTCCTAGTGCCACATTATTGCTTTAGAATACTTAGTCAAGAAGGGTTGAATTTGCAAAATGTATTATACCAACAGCTGTGACAGCTGCTGGTTTTCTTCCTTGACTTCCCTCTCTTCTCCTGGCTCCCAGCAGCTGCCTGTTACTGCAGGCAGAGGTTTTTTTAATGCCAGCTCTCCGTGTCTGTTGGTGAGAATTTACCACTGGCAAAATCCTGGAAAGATGTACAGCATCAGAGATGCTGCAAACAAAGGAAAATAGCTACTAAAGGCTCCCTACCAGCCTCTCTGCAGTGTCTGAACTGAGTAGTCCTTTGCAGAACTTTGCAAAAAGTTTTTAGTAAGTCTAATGCTTTTTTCTAAAGCATTACTGAAATAATTCACAACATAGTCTCTTTTAAGTCTACATGAATGCCCCTCCTGTGATTACTCATACATTTAATTTCTTGGTGACTTGAGACACTGAACATTGGTAAAGAGTTTCATTTTCAAATTAGAACTCGCACAACGTAATTAATTGAATGTAAACTAATATAATAGGTACTCATAACTCAAGTCAGAAAGCACTTTATTATTTGGTGTGGTAAGTGTGATAGCTAATACTGAATCGATCCTGACAGAATGGACTTAAATGAGGATGTGACTGTATTTTTAAAGGAGTTAGATAAATGCAGCTTCCCTGTTTTTGTTTAAAGACTAAAATTACCTGTTAGGAATATTCCAAAATAGAGGAAAACTGTATTTTAAGTCGACATTATGTACAGATAGTGCCAAATTTTCAAGTAGTTTTAAAAGTTGCTGTTTGAGATGATTGTGAAGCCTTGGGAATCTGTCCCACTGAATCTGTCTTAATTCACAGAGCATTAATAGCTGCGATAAATTTCCGAAATTTCCACTCACCCTCCTAAAGCACATGTAGTCTTGTTATCAGCTAATCTTCAGTGCATTTCAGTGAAGATCACATTTTTAAATATGTATAAGAAGTTCCTCTCCGTATGTAATATATATGTAGAAAAGAAACAAAACACATCAAAAATTCATGCCAACTCATGCAGGTCTCTGCCCATTATTTTAAAAAACATCTTTTCAAGAATACCTCAACTGGGTGCACGCCGGCACTGGAAGAAGTCCAGTCTCTTTTGTTCTTCTGCATCATCACCTGTTCCCTCCTGATGGGGGGAGAGATGGTGTTCATATGAGCATTGGTAGGTTGCATGGCAAACCACACCAGAAAATGAATCCAGGTTAAAACTGACTTGCAAAGAAAAAAGATTGTTAGTTTAACAGAAGTCAACTATTCAAGCTGATTTAACATGTAGCTACCCAAAAGCTGATGTTAGTACATGGAAGGGAACGGAGGGAGCCATCACCTAGAATTTGTTAATTGTATGCATTTGAGCATACATTCTGAATATACATTTGTAAAGTTACAGAAATTTTTTTGAAAGTCTCCAAAGACAGAGAAGTCAATACAGGTGACTGAGAGATAACATTTGTTCTGTTTCAAAGGAGTCCTAAGCTAACAATTAGAAAACATCTGCATTTAGGACTAGCTTTTGCTCAGTGACATGCAGCAATGCACAGGGTAATAAGGGACTTCAGACATGAGCGAAATCTCTCAGCAGTTTTCATGTTTATCTGCATAATAGGTAATTAAAGAGCACAGGAATACCTGATAATGGAAGAATCCCTGCTTTCACCATGTCTCAGGGAAATTACGCAGAAATTGTACTGTTCATCATTACAAAATGCTAATAAAATTGCCTTTGTAATACTGCCATAGTTAATGGATGCTTGAAAGAATGTAGCGTCTTCCAAGTCATTGAGTCTAATCTTTACTTGGGTGCTGGCTTTTTTAGAAAATGGCAGTTTAGTGTCTGTAAGCTCAAATGTTTATCTATATTTTGCAGATTACCACTTTTTTTCATTCTTATCTACTATGTGGTTTCCTCTACATCACTCATATAAGCAAAGCAGAGGATCATTCAAGTCCTTCAGGTGCTCTGCTTGGAGCCGCCTCCATACAGATTTCCAGCTGAGCTCTGGTAGCCAAAGCCTGCTAGCCCTGGGACCTTACTTCTGGGGCTGAATTTGCCTAGAGGTTTAACTTCCCTGTGGCATATCCGTGATATGACATGGTGCATGGATGCAGATCACAAGGAGCACATCCAATGGAAGAGTCTGTCACTTCTCTCGTGGGAAATGACATGAATTATTGGTGCATAGGGTCTGATATGGGAGGACAACTCCAAGGTCTTGAAAACTAGGATGAAGGCATCACTAGCAAAAATGTCAGATGAATTTAAGGTGTTTGCTGTCCCTGTTCTTCCAATTAGATGACTTCTTTTATAATTGTGTAAACTCGCTGTCTATCTAGGTCATGTCTTTTCTCCTTTTCTCTTTTGATTTAATGTTGTCATTGTCTTTCAGCTTCTACATTTTTTGCTTCTTCAATGTAGCCTTTAAAATCTGCTTATAATGATAAATTATATTTTTGTTTGGGTTTTGCTAAAGAGAATGAACCAAACTTTGAGTCATCTCTTTTTGGAGTGACCCTCCAGTTGGTTTTTCTACTTGCTAAACAGTTGCAATGATTTTTCAGCTCTTTGATGAAATAGCTAGATCAGGCAGTGTTTTTAGGTAGTATTTCTGCTTTGCTTGTTATGTAGCAGTATTGTTAAGTCCAACTTTCAAAATGAATTGAAAATAAATAAGTGTCCTTCACAACACTCTAGTGCTTTTTATCTTATAATATTTTCGGGAAAATGGTTGTAATTTGAGTTACTGTAATATGGGGGTTTTGAAAGAAGGGAGAAAGGCCTCAAAGGAGGGTGGTGTGCTGAATACAGAGTGAGCTGCTCGGTGTTTTCTGCCTGTTTCTAGGTCTTGGTAGGATGTCAACAATGTGTAGATGCTAATACAAAATTTCATTGCATATATTACACAGTATCACGAAGGGGTTTTTTGCTTTACTGTTGAGGACTTAGGTTCTGTTATTCCCTCTTAATGTTTCATTTTACTATTTTAGGTTTGCTTAATGTTATTTTTATTATTTAGTTATGATCATTTTTGGTTCTTGTTCTGTGCTGGAAGAAGTGAAAACCATTCTGTATATACAGCTTTGTACTCAGCTGACCGTAAACCACAGAGTTCATTTTTTCAATCTTCTATGCACATAAATGTACTTGCTTTGTAGACATTAATATGATGAAAGAAAAAAAATTTCAGCTTTGACATATGATGAGATATCAATAATCAAAATGACATAACAGAAACATCCATATTCACTCAGCCTGAAAGGGTTGGCGATTAATAGTTTTCTGCACTGGAGGTTTGGTATCCAGAGATTTTCTGTGCTTTCAAAGAAAAACAAGCGATGAATGTATTGTTTTGTTGATCTAACATAACCTCTCTGCTATTTGCTTTTCTTCCTGCAGACCACCACTGGCCTTAACACAACTACTGCATCCGTCCTTCAATTTTCCCTTGGTAAGTTTAGCTTACACTTTTACCTGAGAAAGTGTAAAAAGTCATTTCTGCAAAGGAAAATGGCCCTCAAGTTCAGGCTTACCTTTCTAGTCAATGTTCCACTTGACATGAGGGATTAAAAAAATCTTTCAGAAACTGCAGCACATTTATTCATCTCCTAATCTAGAGCTCCTAATCTAAACTTTGGCAAGGAGAAACTCCAGTGGATACTCTGATGATGTGAGGCACAGTCATGTTTGGGTTTTGGGTTTTTTCACTTATTTTATAACCTGATGGATAACATTATAATCACTTGCTCTTTCTCTGAAGTGTGATTACTATTTCTAAAAAATGAACTTTCTAAACATTTTAAATGCTTGATATATTCCAAGTTACGACTAAGTAGTACTGGTTTTAACACATCTGTACAAACAGAATAGATAGGGTAGACCTAAACTGAATCCTTTTTAGTTTGTATTATCAACAGCGTGGTTGTGTGTTATATTACTTAGGATATCTGCTGTAAGTTATTGCACGTTTTCACTGTGTAGTTGTGGCTATAAATAATGGCAGAAGTTGTGGCTTGGGCTGAGGGCAAATTGGGAAAACTTGTTAACTCATATCTTAGTGTTCAAAATATGAAGGAAAAATGTTTTTATGATATAAATGGTTCAATAAAAAAGCAAGCAGGAAATATAGCCTGTTTCCTCTGTGGGCCCCTGGATATGTATTTCCAAATCATATTCCTATTTTTAAAAAAGTAATTCTCCAAAAATATCTCGGCAGATGTGTGATTAAACTCTGGAAACCTCAGTTGGAAATAAGAGATATCAGGTAGCTTGGGAAGCAGCTTGGGTATTTTAATGGGTTGGAAATCAAAATCCTAGAAGGCTCAGAAATATGTCATTGAAATTTGTTTTTACCTGAAGTTGTTCGTTTGGCTATTTGAGGTCATCATTACCTGTCACCATGCAATTGACTGCAATGTTAACAGTTCTAAGGATTGGTATCTACCCTTTTATTTTGAATTACCATTTTTAAAAAGCCAGAAAAATGTATTCATCTATTCCTAACTGAATTATTGCATAAACATTGGACATCTCCAGCAAAAAGCAGCCTGGAGCCGCCCTGCAGTTTCATCCAGCCAGGGAAAGGGGAGCAACCCACTTGATTTGCTAGGACGTGTCGCTTGCCTGCAGAAGCCCTCCCACCCTTGGCTGTGCTTGAGGATAAGTGACTTCTATAGTGCTGTAAATTTGCAATGATGGAGGAATTTTGCTTTTTGGGTAAATTTACAAAAATCTTCTATGGGTTATTGTTACGATGACCCAGAGTGAGTAACAGCAGTGGAAGGTGAATGGGTTGGTGGTTAGATGTTTGCTGTCACAGCTCAGTGGCTGGTGTCTGCTGCAGGTGAAGTGCAGAAGGGTGCAGGTTCCCAGAACCTTCAAAATTAGACTTAAGATTTCACTAGTAGCCTTTGTTCCTGTCAACTGGGGAAGGTCAGATAAAAAAGGGGTAAGAACAGGCTGAGTAGGAAGTACTCTATATGACAGGATTGTCATGAATATATGGTAAGAATACGTTAACCTGTACCAGTAGGAGCCAGCAAAATCCCCAGTATGATGGAGCAGGAGAGGGGTGGATGCACATCTGAGTAAATCAAATTTCAACCTGAAGTTCAAAATGTATCACATTTCCCAATGTGCCTGTGCTGAGCTTGAAATACAGTGCAGATTGGTTTTGTGACTGATAAAAACCGGCATGAGCCGGGGGACTACTGCTGAGCTCAGCAGTACTTGGCTTTAGAATCATAAATCTAAACTAGGTATTTGCCAGTTTCCAGCTTATTCCCAAATGTCCAATTTAATCATAACCCTATTTAGGGATTCATCCAAGGGAATTGCCTTTTTTTAAAAGAATGTTTAACACTTTCTATCGACAGCAGAATAGCTTAAGCTGTAATCTTTCAGGGGTATCTTTATATTAAATTCATCACATAGCTTTGACCACATTAAAGTGCATAACCTTTGATTCCTCTTGCCACTAATTATCAGATGGAATTTTGTATTTGCAGGTATATAAGCAGAATGAGGACTGGGAAATGAAGCAAAAAAATGGTCCTGCTTTCACCTTAAATCCCAGATCCTTTTAAACTGTGTGGTCAGGAAGGCTAACACCCTAGTGAATTTTTCATTAGTTGATATTCTGTGTAGTTTCCTTCATGTACCACCTATTTGGTAGTCTTGCCCTTTAAAGGGCAACAGGGTTGAAAAGGTGCCCTTAAGATGAAGGCTTAATTAGTATGAAAAGGTAATTAGTAAGGCCTGTTCAGCACACAGGACAACATTAATGTGCACTATCCTTTCTGACTGAGACCAACTTGTCTGCCACACAGCATTCACTTGGAGCTGGTGACATTGCCTTTTGGTCCAGGGCTGGGGTGATGTTTACATTCATGCACTCTCTGCCAAAGTGTGAAGAAAATGTCAGTTACTTCAGGTGTCTTCATCATCCACAACTACATTTCTCCAAGACCAAACACTGACATGTGAAAGACAAAGTCTAGCATTTTCCTTAATGTTCAGTGGGGTTGTTAATTGAGATATTTGAAGCAATGCCTTTGGGCTCTCTCAGGCCAGAACATCTAATTCAACAGCTTGGGATTGCAGGATATTGCACAAAAGCCTCCAGATTCAGCTGCCACACAGTGTTAGTCTGATTCATTAGCTGAAATAGTCTCTTTCTCACTCCAAAGCTCAGGCTTTTCCCCTTAGCTACATTCTTGGACTTCTCCAGGGATGACTATGATCTGTCATTCGCGTAGGCTACTGTGGTGGAAGGTGACTCATAGTACTGAGAGATTAGAGACTGAGCTAAACACAGCAAAAAAAGAGACCCATGAAATCCCATAAGGAGAAGAGGAAAGGCTTTAAGGGAGCAATGCCAAGGCGTGAGGTGTGCAAGCAGTTCTGCTCATGCGTTTTTCCTGGCGTGTCCCCTCCAAGCATACGCTCTCTTGGCTGTGGTGTACGTGGGCTGTGCATGCTCTGCATGGGCAGTTCAGCATTGGCAGGCTCTTCCCATCCCTCTTTCCTTTGCAGTGCCTCCCAGTCACAAAGCCAAACCCGAAGGCTCTGTGATGAGTACCAACACTCAGCCTGGCCTCCAGGGCAGGTGCTTCTCAAAGCGGTGTGTGTCACGACATCAAAATTGTTAATGGAAAATATTACGTTACCTTGAAGAACTTTGTTCCATAGCTCTCTCCTTACTTCTTAGTATTGCTGGACCATTTCTGGCTGTTAAATAATGTGTGAAAATGGGAATAACTTGATAAGGAAAGCTCCCACTCTTCAGCTTCGTTATGAAAATTCTTTATCACTCCTCTGAGAACAGGATGATTTTGACAGTATCATGTACTGGATAAACACACAATGTTTGTAAGGCAGGACCCTACTTTAAAATTGTTTTCCCTTCAACTTTTATGCCATTATCACAAAGATCTGCTGTCAGTACTAGAGGAAATTAGCAATTCTCCCTCCCCATCCCCCTGCCCCTTTCATAAACCCTCCTAAACCCTCTACTATTTTCTATTAAAGCAAAACTGACTTGGGGGAAACAGCTTTCTTTTAAGTTAAAAAATACCTTCTGGGATGGAATAAGTCTTCAAAAATTTCAAACATTCGGCACTTCAGCTCCATTTTTTAAAGATCAAGCCATTAGTCTTGCAAACAAAGAACTAGTCAAAGGTTCAAAATTTTTTTTGCTCTATTTGGAGAAAAAGCTTGGGGTGGGACTCTCCCTTCCACAAACTCATGATAAAGAACTTTTGCAAAGTTGGGTTCCCAAATCTAGCAGATTTTACTTTGGGTCAATTATTAATCCCTACTTTCAGTCACCCCCAAAACTACCCTTCTAGGGAAATATGTGATTTGCAATTTTTTTCAATATGATTGTAATGACAAACCATCTTTCCCT